TGTGTGTGTGTGTGTGTGGTGTGTGTGTGTGACATTCGGTCACCCCGCCCCCCTCATCTGTCATCGAAGACAGTGTAATCTCCCAGCACAGTCGCTATCTTACTCCGTTTAAATGTTATCCGCAGGACATGGTTCCCGTAGACGGCATGAACGTGATATGGCCCGGTCCGACTTCACTTCGAACTTCGACCGTAAGGATCGCCTTGAAATTAATCGTATAACTTGTACATTACCCACAGTGCTACCACTATGATCTCCAACTGTTGCTTTAGCACGCTAGTTTGTGGATTGGGCAATGCTTGATAACCTCGAGGCGAGGAGGGAGGAGAAGCGATCGAAGCGAGAGAGGGTTAATTTATCTTATAGTCGCCATCAAATTCAAGGACACTCCGGCTCGATATTAAAAAGTCCGTGTCCATCTAAGACTTTGCACATAGCAACATCCACATTAGCTTTATGATATAAATTCCATTCCATGACCGCTTGACGTTGTAGACATAAAGGCCGATTTTTACGATCTTTAGATATGAGTTTCGAGCCTTGGCACCGAAAGGGTAGTTTCCATCCCAAAGGCACGGCGTGCTTGTCCAGGCAGCTCGTTCCACGTGCCCCACACCCCTACCCTGCGGAGCACCCACCGTCCGAAGTCAGCCGCCTCGGCGACCGTGGTGGGCAGGTCGCGTCCACTCGTCTCCGGCAGGAAGGCCGTCATGCCGCCCGCCAGCAGGCCACACACCCCGAAAATGCAGAGCGGCAGCGTGGCCGTGTCGTCGCCCTGGCCACCCAGGTCAGGTCAGGCCAGCTCAGGCTACACAGCTGTGCCCTCGCCATTCGGCGGGCGCGGGCAAGTGGGTCCTGCCGGCCGCCTCACGGGCTTGAGGCATGTCTCCTTCTGGCCGCCGCCGAGCGAACGGCGGGCGGGGTAACGACAGCTCTACCCGGCTGCCCGTGTCGTGTTGTGACGGGTGCTGGCAGAGTGTGGCCGCAACGCGCGCCGAAAGAACCGATAACTACGAGTCCACAGCAGTTTGCCTGGCATGGCGACGGGCTACACGCCACTCCACCGCGAGAGAAGTCGCGGGGATAACTTGATACAGTATGCCAGTGACAACCATTCCAAAGATGACGACGACATAAAAGGAAAACCACCTCCAGTCGCCTCGCAAAGTCGACAACGTTGTACAGCCAGACAGTGTGCTACATGTTCGCAACATCAGCGTTATTATGAGCGAACTTCGTCACCTTGGCTGCTGAACGCGCAGCTTCTGTAGTTACCAGATCGGCGATGACCGGTGCGAGCACGGAGCCGATTCTTGAGCAGGCTGAGGCCATGCCCACGCCCATCACACGCATTCCGCTTGGGCACAGCTCCGCCGTGTACAGGAACAGGAGCGAGAACGCTGACGCCGCGCCGAACTTGCCCAGCAGCGCCAAGGTCGTCGTCAGCCACTCCAGTTCTGAATTGGACCCGAGATGAGATATGTAACCCGCTCTCGAGGGCTGACAGACAGCACCCGCTCGTCTCAATTGCAAGCCACCAACGCGTGGCGTCCAATGTAAACCGATATTTAGACGACTGATATCCGATAAACTGAGGGTCTGTTGTGTCGGGGTAAGCACGCACGGTGAGCGCGAACTGGCCGAGAAGACAACCGCGCGCGTCATTTGTTTGAATTCTTGACCGTCCCGTGTTTGACCCGTGTGGATTTACCGTCTCCATTTGACGATGTGACTTTGGAACATACATTGCAACATTTGACCGTACAGCAGCATTGCAGGGACTCGTTCACTCAATCAAAGAGGTGGCGGATGGCATGCGACTGGGATGGCACCTTTCTCCCAAATGGTAAAACTCAGTCTTAAGTCTCGTTCATTCCCCCCCCCCCCCACCGCTGAGATGAGTCACCGTTGGGGGGAAAATATTCTAATGCATCAGTCAGCATTATGGCGTTATTTCAGCAGCATATTCAAGAAGAAGGAATCATCGCCAGAAAGAAACACCTGATCCATCGCTACGCAAGCAGCCCTGGCTCAAAGATCACCGTTGGGAGGAATGACCTGCACACAGCTTGGGAGAAGCATGTCCAACACATAATTCTTCCTGTCGACACATGCCGCACCTTGTCCGGGGAGCACGCTGCGCATGACTCAGTGTTGACAACGAGCCGGCGCATGACTCACCGTTGGCCGGCACGAGTCCTGCGCAGATGGCGCCCAGTCCGCTTAGCAGGAAGGCGCCACCTATCACCAGCTTTCGACCGAGTCTGAAATGGTCCAGCCAAGCCGTATTATAAACACGTGTGTACCGTGGTTGCCGCATCCCTCCTCTCTGTATACTGTTTACCCAGCGGACGTGACCAGTATGGAGCCTTCCCGTAAGGGACGGAAAATTAACGGATCGGCGCACTTCCCAGCTTGTGAAAACAGCTCACAAATAGGCACATAGAACCATGCACGCGTGGTCGACACTTCTTTGCTTCTGATGGAGGCATGCTTCTGT